GAAAGAAACGCCGGAGAGCAGGTAGCACAGAAAGCGCCGGAGAGTTGAAAGCAGTTTAGAGCTCGAAAAATTGGAAGCGTGAAAAGCCACCCAAGGCAGACGTGCAATGCATTTATACTCGAGTAGAATGGAGGCGGATCGTTAGATCAATAGCTGAATCAACGACCCAGATGAAGCGCAGAATTCGAGGAGTCGGCGATGGAGGTGACGCGCGTCAATTAGGGTTTTCTGAAATTTGAAATTTGAAATTTCAAAGGGGTCTGTCAGAGTGTCAGACTTATCCGAAAAAGCAATCATGAGGTTGGGATGCGCCCCGATGGATTGACGAGACGAGTCATCAAAGAGGACGAAGACGAGCAGGTACCACAGGAAGACAGCGAAGCTACATACCACCAAATTTACTCTTAAGCAGTCGACTGCTTAGAGTAATTTTCGGGGGGGACTAGATGATATGGCCACATAAGGATAACCCGGTCCAGAAGCTTATTACTCAACCGGCGAACCACTCGAATTACTCGCACGTCGACATGACTCCGTCGACATGCCCAAATCGACTTCCCAAAGGTCGATTCTACTAAGAGCAATCAAGAAGAAGCCGAGATTGATCTAGTCGACTCTTGCAAGTCGACCTTAATCTACCGACTTTCTCTAATCGACATCAATGAAAGAGGAACAGCAAAGCTCCCGGTCATCCAGATACTCTAAGTCGACCCCCAGAAGTCGACTGAACTAAGACGACCCTCTGAAGACGACTCCGCCTCAAAGAACTAGTCAAGCGTAGCCTCTGAATCCGCACATATCCACGAGTCGACTTCCTAGATCTCGAAGTCGACTTCACATACCTTAAACGACGAAGATGTGATGACGATTCATCACACTTGCAACATATCCAAAGTCCTCCACATTGGGAAAGATAAGAAGGAATCTTGCGATGATTCAGCAACAAAGGGGAGACGAATCGACAGGGGTATTTTGGACTTTCTAGGTCCACCGACTGGGGTATTTTGGGCACTTCGCGTAAGTTTTCACTCCTATATAAAGGAGATGAGGTAACCCTAAAACCCTAACTCTCATTCACTCCCACTCTCCCCCATAGTTGCTGCGCAGCCCCTCTTCATCACTCTCATACTGACTTGAGCGTCGGAGGCTCTACGCCGGAAACACCTCCGGCGTTGAGTTTTTGCAGGTATTCTTGCGGTCTAGCAACGGTTTAAAGACGGTTCAAGCAGATCTGAGCTCACAACCACCGGTTTACTCCAGACCCGGAAGTAGACCCATCAATATTTTTATGGAGATTTAACAAAGTAGATTGCATTTATAAAATGATTTGGATATCAACATACAATTTATAATGGAGTTTTCAAAATTGTGTACTATTAACAAATGATATATTATCATTAAATATATTTTTTTTAAATGCACAATTATTGAGACTGATAATTTGATAATTATTTTATCTTTTGAAACTGAGTATAGAAAAAACAATAGATTGATAAACAAATAAGTGATAAACATTACAAAATTTATTATCGCACGTTTCAAATAAAAAAATTATGATGATTAGTGGAAAATGATATTTAACGAATAGCATTCAATATTTTTTTTGAAAGGCATAAATATAAAGACCGATATTCTAAAATTTTTATTACCTTTTCAATTGAGATTTTATAAATATAGAGACTGAGATTTTAATGTTCTTCGTTGTTTTTATGAAAAAATAAAATAAAAATAAAAAATGCACACTTAATAGATCTTAGCTAGAATTTTTAAATAATAAAATAAATTAAAGCCAAAAATTTAATGCAACATTAAATGTTGTATGATTTTTCAAAGATAAAAATAAAAAATAAATAAAAGTTACTATTTATAGGTTGCATTAAATTCTCTCCTATTTTTTGCTACTATTTTTGTTAAATGGTAATTCTTATTATATATGTATAGATTATATAATTATCGTTAACGAATCGAATATTTGATATTTTCGAATTGAATATCTATAAATTTGAATTCGAATTTGTTTAGCTTTCGAATATAAAACATTATTCGTATTCGAATATTTCGAATTCGAATCACGAATATCGAATTCAGATATCGAATCGAATTTAAAAAAAAAAAATCGAACTGGCTTCCGAATCAGTGGTTTAATTTATCGGGTCATATGTTGAACTGAGTAATTAATTTTATTAATTATTTAAATTATATACATATACACTATTTTTATCTTATAAGTCTACATAAAATAACAAAATATATAATTTATATGTAAATTTTATACCTTAAAATCTTAACAATTTTATATCTTATCATAAATATTTACCACGTAATTATATGTACTTAGTTTTTATTTTTAAAATAAAAATAAAAACCAAAAACAAAACAACAAGAATTGATCTACCGTCTTTCCCCGCCAGGTCAATACCTCAACCGGGTCAAAGCCGTTTTGTTTGGGTTCTAGCTGGCTCCATTGTTGACCGGTCTTAAGGACCCAGCCGGATGGTCCCAAATCTGAGTCAACCTCTATTGTAATAAGAGTTAATTTATTATATTTCACCTTAAGAGCGTTGCACACGGCTATTTTAATACTTGCAACATCTTTATCACACCAAATGCCTAATTCGTGGATAAAACTAAAATAGTCGAAGATGATCAAATATTTAATTCTCAATAGTCGAAGATGCCTATTAATTTCGTTCACAATTAATTCTACTAGTAATCTAACATGTGTATTTGCACAAGAACGAATACTTTAAAAACATAAAAATATTAAAAAAAAATCATAATTTAATTCATGAAAAAAATATGAATTAAGAAAATAATTCTCAAAATTGATTTTGATCAAGTAATTGCTATGGAAGAGCTGTTACAGCCATTTTCTTTATGCTAATACACCCGGCCATTTTCATGAGTGGGTGTGACTAAAAATTTGAGTATAATTTTGTAACTTCCTTGATTGATTTATGCTCATAATTTATGGCATTCAAGCAAGTTATTTTGTAACTTAAAATTGAAATTGAATTCTGAAAATTTTGGAGGGAGAATAAAATTTAATGCATGGTAATAAAATAAAATGTTTTGTTGTTCCTCTATATATATATATATATAGGGATTGGTTCCAATGCATCCCATTATTTAAAGTGAGGACGTGAGACTCATTCCTAGCCACAAGATTTAGATCTTGATTTAAATAATAATTCTTGATTTTTATTATTTAACTCTTTATTTTTAATTATTTAAATATTATTAAGACCATTGACCATTGACTGCGGCGTTGACCGTTGATTTCCGGCGTTGACCGTTGACTTCCGGTGATCAAATGTTGACTTCCGACGTTGACCGTTGACTTCCGGCGTTGACTTCTGACGTTGACCGTTGACCATTTGTCTTTTGTTATGTTATTTCTTTCTTGCTACGTTAGTTGTCTTGTGTTGCTAGGTTAGTTCTTTCTTGCTGCTAAGTTAGTTGTCTTTTGTTGCTAGATTATTTCTTTCTCGCTGCTAGTTTAGTTGTCTTTTGTTGCTAGATTATTTCTTTCTCGCTGCTAGGTTAGTTGTTTTTATTTGCTAGGTTAGTTCTTTCTTGCTGCTAGGTTAGTTGTCTTGTGTTGCTAGGTTAGTTCTTTCTTGCTGCTAGGTTAGTTGTCTTTTGTTGCTAGATTATTTCTTTCTCGCTGCTAGTTTAGTTGTCTTTTGTTGCTAGGTTAGNNCNNNC